TTAGTGCTTTTTCCTGCGGATGCTAGCTTTTTTGGTACACATCCGTAGGAAAAGGAAATTGTTGTGGTTTTAAGAGGATTTTCCTGTGTTCATATAGTACGGGTATTAATTACTTTGTTTTTGTTATTTTATGACCTTATAAAAATTATATTCAACAATTTTTATTGAGCTTGAGGCCATTTTTAATGAAAAACTTATTGTGGAAAAGCAACAATAATTTGAAAAAATGGTAGAAGTGATAGCTTTTTCGGAAATCACAATCACCACATTTCCTCATCAGACTTCTTTCAGTAGATTCGAACCGACGATCCCACTGACTCATCCAGTTGCCTACGCACTGTGCTAAGTTCGCCTTGTGAATTCTTGTTGCTTTTTCCACTATTTCATTTGTTAAGCCAACTACAATTAAGCGCAGCTATTCCGATGCAATAAATGAAAGTTTATGCAATTTCGATTTACAGGACAGCAGAACCGCTTACAAAGTTGTTGTGTTTTTTTTTAGTAAATTAACACCCGGTGGATTTAATAAAACTCGGAATAAACTGCAGCTACTAAAAAATACGTCTACTCTGCTGACATATCTTCTCGTCTTCCTTATTAATTAATATTAATTAATTATTAATTTATTATTTATTTATTTATTTATTTATCTATTTATTTATTTATTATTTATTTATTTATTTATTTATTATTTATTTATTTATTATTTATTATTTAATTAATTAATTAATTAATTTATACATTATTTATTTATTTACATCTAATGAAAATATTCGACCTCTTTTGAAGCATCAGTGTTATTCAACGGACTATTTTCGACTCGGATTTCGGCCAAGCACAATGCTGTGAATAGCATCCGGAACGAGCTGAAGGGATCCAAATTTTTATACCCGAGCGCACTTGTGCACAAGGGTATTATAACTTTGTTCACATAACGGTTGTTTGTAACAGGCAAAACGAATCGAGATAGATATAGACAAATGTATACATAAATGATCAGAATGAAAAGAGAAATCGATTAAGCGGTGACTGTCTGTCCGTCCGTCCGTCCGTCTGTCCCTCTGTGCTCACGATAACTCGAGTAAAAATTGAGATATCTTAACGAAACTTGGTACGTGAACTTCTTTTGGGCGTAGGACGGATGGTATTGAAAATGGGCGAAATCGGACCACGCCTACCTCCCATATAACGGTAATTTTAAGAAATACGAAAACTGCGATATTTTAGTAACTACTGAAGATAATTCACTCAAAATTGATACTTACAATGAGTTTCAGACGGAAAACATGAAAATTATAAATTTTTGGAAAATGGGCGTAGCCACGCCCACTTATGGTTACATGTGTATATCTTGGTAACCGCTGCACCAATTTCTTCCAAACTTGGCACAATTGTTGGTCCTGGTACAGCATACCAAATGGCCGAAAATTTCTAAAATCGGACAATAACTACACCCACATCCCATATAACGGTAATTTCGAGAAATACAAAATCTTCGATAAATCAGTAAATATTGAAGCTAATTGGTCCGATATGCGGCGGCGACACTGGCTTTTTCTTCTTTATACCCATCAGCTTATTCCGCATGTCGATGAGACCGCAAGAGCGTGGCATGAATATTAGCACCAGAACTATACTCACTGCAGTCAATAGTATAATGAAAATACCCATACCGAGTAGCTCATGCCATACATCATCGGTCTTCGTTTCATACTTTAGCACCTCCAGTACAAGCAACTCAATGGAGTAGCCAACAGCCAAAGCCAGTTCCGTATAAAGCAATGGCGTACATTCGAGTACAAGCTGTAGGCCTACGCTGGAATACACGCCAATACAAGTGTAATAGAAACACAAAAAGTAGAAACAATGTTCTGTCGAAGTATCCACATAAACACCCAATATCGCGGAGAGTGCAGTGATCTTAATTACGCCGAACATTAAATAAACTAATTTTGGCTGGTAACGTGCCATCAAGACACAACCTATAGCACAGCCGAACGCGTATAGCAGAAATGGACCATACAGGTGCTGGGTTACCCAGTAGGCAAAGGTTGAGCTCCAAGCTAGCTGCAGGTATGACGAAGAGTAGATGAGCGCACGCTCCAACACCAGCACCGCTGCTATACCCACAACCAGCCATTGGCGATTTCGTGTCACATAAAAGTCATCCCGGCCCACAAATAGCGCACAGATCGACTTATTCGACAGAAATACTAATTTTTCCTCATTTAGCAAGTTGAATGCAAGATCATAGGACACTTTGTAATTGTATACGCCAAAATATTGGAGCACTTCATTGACCACCACGCCAGAGAGCATAAACAATGTAATGCACAAGTAGATCCATCCGCAGTAGTTTGCCTCGAATTCATTGAATATGCTGAAACCCACCGAGACGCCGCTGAAATAGAAGGTGTTGCCCAAAGCTATGCGCGCTGGTCGAGTTCCGCGCGACGAGCTGCGTATGCTGATGTAACTATAGCAGGGAATGAGCGTGCTACCAACGCCGATGAAGCCGAAATAGAAGCAGATATCTGTATGAGAATATTCAAAGTATATATGTGCAACCGCTTGCTCTTCAATACATAAATATGTACATATGTACTTACTATGTACATACCTAAGTTATTTGTTAACATGAAGCAAGCGCTGATAACGAAGCATATCAATCCGTAGAAGATGACGTAGAAGTGATCATAACTATACTGTCGCTGCATATATTTCCTTAATGTTAGGGCGCCAGCCAAGGCCACAGCTACAATCACACCAACCATTGCATACCAATGCGTCCATAGATTGTCGTAAACGTAGGCGTATTTGCAGTAATAGCCAAAGAAGCAGCCACTGCCAAATAGACACAGGTAGACTGATCGAAAAACTACTTAGTAAGATTCGATAGAAATCAGCTACTATTTTTTAATACCTACCCAAAATATCTGGAGTGTAATGCATTTCTGCGTATGCCAGTTTTCACAACTGCTCTTACGAAAGGTTCCAAATTGATTGATTCACTTTACTATTACCAAATTCTTGCATTGATCATACAGTAATCATTTATGTAGCTACGCTTTGAGATAAAAGAATGGCATGTAGCGCACGTTATCTTTCACTGTAGAGATGATGTCATTGGTGAGCTTATGGGAGAGAGTGGCGGCCGCCGTGGTGTAGTGGTTAGCAGTGCGCGCTACCACTCCGTTGGCCCTGGGTTCAAACCCGGTTCAACCCAACTTCAAAAAATAAAAAACAAACAAAAATGTTTTTCTTATAGCAGTCGCCCCTCGGCAGGCAATGGCAAACCTCCGAGTGTATTTCTGCCACGAAAAACAGCTTCTCATAAAAATAAAATCGCTGTGGAAGCGCCAATCTATTATTATTATTACATATGTATGTGAGAGTTTTATTTTGCACAAAACAAGCACTTGCACTAGTGAAAATTTATTTTCTTCTTTTATACTTTCTGAAATGGATACCTTGCTGAATCTAAAACTACTTCTGATATTTTTGGCAAAATGTTTACTTTAAGCGAATAACAGAGCAATTCTTAGGCCTATTTCATAAACGCGACAGGGGTGACAATTGTCGATTTTTCTATAAAATTTCAGAGCCAGAATTGTTGACTACATTTTTTCTGTTTCATATACGCTTGTAGGTGACTGTGATTTTTTTCAGAAAGCAACAGTGACAATACTGGAATATTGTCGACAATGGTGCTGACAATTGTCACTCTGACAAAATTGTCACGACTAACTAAATAGCTCCGTCGGAATGTTTTCACAGGATTTGTTTATATGGTAATTGCGCACATTTCATCAGTTTTCAATAATTTGAATATTACATATGAATTACATAAAAATTTCTTATGACTGGCGACAATTTTGTCAACGACAATTTTAAAACCTGACAATGATAATTTGTCACTTTTTCAATGGAGTTTCTCATGGAATTGAAGCGGTGGTGACAATTGTTTTTATGAAGCAAAACAACCACCAAACTGTAGAATTGTCAATGACAATACGAAAAATGCCTGTCGTTACAAAATTATCCCTGCCACTTTATGAAGAAGGCCCCTGGTATTTTGTAAGACAATTGAAAGACAGGTCGCAATCGAGAGAATCATTAGGCAGTGGAATTTTTTCTTTTATTTAGATAATTTTTTTTCTATTCTTTTATTTTTTAGATTTTATTGTTTTACAAAGAAAAGTATGTGTTTTTTAATTTTTAGAAATTTATTTTATTTTTATTTTGTTATGTAATTTTTGTCCTTTTTTAATTTAATTTTCTTTTAATTTTTAAAGTTTATTGTTTTAATTAAACATTTTTAAATTATTTAATGTTATTTTATTTTTATTTTTTAGATGTTATTGTTAAAAAAATAAGGTTTTTACTTTTAGACGTTATTGGTTTAAAAAGAAAAATGTGTTTTTGTTTTTAAATTCATTTAAGTTTTACAAACTTAATTTATTTACTCTTTCTTGTTTGAATATTTTTTTTTATTAAATTTTAGTTCTAATATTTTTAAAAGAAAAAAAATATATTTTTTTACTTAATTTAATTTTTAGAAATGTTTTTGCCAAAAACAGGACCTCCACGTTAGCAGATTTTTTGAATTGGTCTTTCGAAAGACAAAAAGAGCTTTCAGAAAAATTGCCACAATTTCCCTGTAAACATCGCAATGGTACAGTTGACGCGAGGCTGAATTCTCCGTCCACTTCAAATTTAAGTTTCAAAATTTCTGCGGTTTGTTTTAAACAGAGATTGCCGCTATCAAAGAGAGAGACTCCGTTAAGTGAGATCAAGGTCACAGTAACTAGCAGCAAGCTGCATGGTTAGTGAGTTGACAAGGCTGGCTATTGTCCGAGATCTTATAGGGGTTTCTTTTAAAAGTCCGCGCCCGAAAAATAAACTTTAACAAAATCGTAAAAAAAAATTTAAAAATCCCGTTAAAATTAATCCGCTTATTTAACGGGTCGTAATAAAACGAAAATTCTTGGACTTACTGTTTCTTCCCAAGCTTTGGAAACTAGTTATAGAAAAAAATAGTAAGCAATATGATTATGTGCGTGTTGATCTTGTCACGCACATGAAGGAACCTAAAGTTCCAGGCCGCCTCCGAATGGTAAATGGCTTTATTAGAAGCGATTTCATGGCAGAAGTACACTTGGAGGATTGAAAATGCGACGACCGCGGAACGAGAGTTACGTAGAGCAATATTTCCTGGAACCTTATACAGCATCTGGATGAAAGTCTTCTTTAAATAAAATTCAAAAATTTAATGAAATGGTAAATCTTCCGGCTATTAATTTTTGAGGAAAATTATCCTTTTTGACTATTTTAAATAATCAAAAAATTAAACAAAACGAAGAAAAATTTCACATTTTAAAAGGCAGGAAAAAATTAATAATTTTTACTTAAATTTAAGCAAAGCGCCAACGCTGGTTTCAGGTACACTGAGAAAAAAATCAATCAAAAATTTGTAATAACCAAACTCAAATTTGAAGAGGAATCAAAGAGATTTGTGTTTAATATTAACAATGTCATGGTTGATATTTTTAACAATGATTTGGTAATATCAACTAAACTTTTCATTACATTAAACAAATTTTTGCATGCCGATTTTTTCGGCATAATATGCAAAATAACAAAAATTACATATCGCCTCTGACAGCATTCGAGCCCGCACTTACTGGAAACGAACGAATAACGACAAGCATCTCGGTTTATACTGACGCACGAACGGCATTAACAAAAAAACCAATTAGATAAATATTTTCAACAGATTTCCTAGCCCCACCCCTGCAAAGACTCGTACCGAGTTTGGTGAGTATTGGTGAAGCGGCTACTGAGATACACCATTTCATCATAAGTGCGCGGGGTCAAGCTCATTTTCCAAAAATTTCATAATAATATCCTTTACCACAATTCTATTCCACATACTCATTTTCAACAATTTGGATCCAATATTTACTGAAATAACGTAGTTCCTGCATTTTTCGTAAATACTGCTCTATGGGAAGTGGGCGTGGTTACAGTCCGATTTCACCCATTTTCAAGACCAATCTACCTTGGATAAGGGGCAACCTTCCTACCATTGAGATATCTCAATTTTTGCTCTAGTTATCGTGTCGCGGACAGACGGACACACAGCCAGACATGGCTTAATCGACTTCTCTATTCATTCTGAGCATGTACATATGTATGTATACATTTTCCTATAACTATCTCGATTCGTTTTGGCTGTTACAAACAACCGCTTTGTGAACAAATTTAATATACCTTTGAGCACAAGCGCGCTCGGGTATAAAAATATTGTAAATATTAGAAAAAAATTCAGCATGTGAACACTTATTTGAGTCACTGTATGTAATGAGCAAATCATCTCTCTATCTGTGAACCGACACTCAACATCGCACGCAACTCATACGCACCGTTCACCCACTGAGCCAGCATCAACACTACTTACTACCTACCTTACGCTTTTGATTTGAGCGGGATACCAACTGCGCAAGTACAAATAACTCGGCTAATATCGCGGTGATTTTCATGAATGAATTTGCCGGGCACAAGAGGGCTGCTTGTCGTTTTTCACCCTTCAATATCCGGCGCACTTGTTTATTTACCATAACAAACCGCTATAGCCGCCATTGGCGCTCAGGAAGAGAACACTTCTGAATACTTGGTATAACGACGAGTGCAAGTGACTGACTGATTGTACGAAGAATCGAAGCAATCGTCAACCGCACTGTTCGGTTATATGCAACTAGGAATAAACCATACTTACATATACATATGTATATACATATGTAGTATATGTCAAACAGTTTGTAGCATTAAGGACTTCGTCTTTCATTTTGTGTAGATACATATTTTTTTGGGGCCGACCAAACAGTCAGCTTCATCAACTTTATATGTACTACAGTCAGTTATGCTTTTTGGCTCTTGCTTTTGAGTTGGTTTTGTTGCGGCTTCTGCTTCCTTTTCAAATTCTGTTGCGTTTTGTGTTTTGGGCTGTCATTCGCCTCAAGCGTTTGGTGGGGTTGTAAGGCAAATTGTGGCAGCTTTGACGCTAGATGTGGTCGCTGATAGTATTCAATAAGAGAACTGTGTGAGGTGAAGTACGAAGAAACAACATTGCTCGCTATTTTCATGGCGGATATTTGACATCTATCGCGCCCGCAATAGCACACATACATATATATACTTGATACATATACATATACGATAAATGCTTTGCTTGATTTCATATATGTTTGTATGTATGTACGAGTATGTTTACACAAACATACATATCAATCGGCCTGATTGGCACAAACACTCAATCGCTTACTAACGGGGTAATATTACTTGTATGTAAGCAAACCAACCCTTTGCGATGGGAAATCGTTGCAGGATATTTTGGAAATTTTCCTCTTCAGCAAATCAGTGCAGTTGTGCAATTACCTTTGCAACAAGCTAGTTGAGTGCAGAAAAATAGTGAGATTGAAAAAATGTAGCTGCAAAAGTGAAGTTTTTTTTTGTAATAAGAATACCTACACATATTCGAAAAGCATTTAATATAGTCAAATTGGCAAAAAAGAAAAACGAAATTGTGCTTCTAATGTGAATTGATGGAGCAAGTCAAAGGAGGCCAGAATGTTTGTAATGAACTGGTACAACAATCTCAGTAATCGCAGCTTGGCGATAACGTTGCTCATTTGCATATCCTTAATATATGTATCATATACATTTAATTCGTGCCTATTGACGAGCATCAGTCGTACATTTCAAAAGGTGTGCACTTTTATAATAACTCCATTTTCTAAAAAAAAAACTACATTCGCATACACTTAAGTAGATATACACTTTTTGTGCTCAAACTTACTAAGAAACAAATTTTTCTACACCACTTTTTTTGTCACAGAATCCGCTACGCAGCCTATTATTTTCTGCAGATGCTTTAGCTGACGCCTCGATTGCTGCAAGCGCTGCTAAACTTCACGCGCCCAACGAGATGGGCAGCGCCACCGCAAGCGCTAATGCCAGCTTGTCAACGAAGCACACGCCGGAAGCGTTAAACTTAATAAATCGCAGCTCTTCCGCTGTGCGGCGTATTGTGCCACTAAGTGGCGCAAGCAGCAGCAGTAGTAGCAACAACAGCGCCAACAACATAGCCGGCACTGCACCGCGGGAGGCTGCTGATGGTTCGCCCAAATATCGTTTCCTACGCCAACAAGGCCTACATCCGTCGCGTCATCTACCCGACACGCTCATCATTGGCGTTAAGAAGAGCGGCACTCGCGCGCTACTCGAATTCATACGCCTACATCCGGATGTGCGCGCCGCCGGCTGTGAGGTGCACTTCTTTGACCGCCATTATCAGCGTGGATTGCGTTGGTATCGTCACCATATGCCGTACACCATTGAGGGTCAAATAACAATGGAGAAGACACCAAGCTATTTTGTGACGAAAGAAGTACCGCAGCGAGTGCATCAAATGAACGCTGCAACAAAGTGAGTAGACGAGAAAAAGGAGGGCAAAAGTAAAATATTTATGGTTTTCTAGAGGACGAGTACATTGGGTCGACTTGCTATACAAAAGTATTCGGACGGCATTCAAAAAGTTTACTTTGTTAAACAAAAGAAAAGCAACACCCTCGCCGTCCTTCAGTCGCACCTTCCACTAGACTACATTGCCCCCGCCGTTGCATTCCAAATCAATTATGTACACTTCATCAAAAGCTGGACTACATATTTACATACATACATTAATTTCATGTTGTGATATGTCAAAAATTTCCCTGGAAGTAGAATTCTTCGCACCTACACATATGGTTGTCAGCCTAGTGGATTTTGGACCTGTTTCTGTAAAACTTCAACTAACGAAGATCTTAGTTTAAAAATCTAAGACTTTTTCTATTACCGAACTCCTTTACTAGAGAAACAAATAACTTACTTATTGAGCTTATTTTTCTTAAGAATCAATTTGATCGGTTCACTCTGGGAAAGCTTCACCACACTAAGATCCAAGCACTCATGTCCAACAAGTCATACTCATTTAAACTGAGGCTTACTGGAGTGCTCTAAGAGTTCCGAATCTAAGCAGCGTGAAAAGTAGAGATTCATTCTCAACTATATTACAGGCGAAAATTTTCGCCACAATAAATCGTGTGAAGGCTAGTAGATAGTTGCCAAAGTGTACTGAATACGCTAGGAACCCGATAAAGGTTATCATGTGGTAGATTCCTTGTCATGAGGTCCGCCAGCCTTTCTGTGATCTATCCAAAGGGTACACGGCAGAACTGATAAGAAGGTGGGGTAGAGAGTTTAAGAACTATAACAGGATACCTGACATGAAAATGCAAGCTAAGGTAAAGTAAGACTTTCTGGTGGGATTAACTGCTGACTCTGTACTCGGCTGGTAGAGTAAATGGCAGAGCATATACTTTGCGATTGCCCACGTATAAGTACAGCTTGGAGAACGACTATTGCCTTCATCCAAAATCTAGAACATAACAACCTTCAAAGTACTAAACTTCGTAAGTAACCTAAGGTACCTCTTCTATGCCAACTGACGCCAATTGGAAATGCCAAGCGAAGCCAAGTCCTTCTCCTCCTGGCCTTTCCAACGCAGAGAAAGCCTTCCTGTTTTTCGTGAATACTTTCAGCTGCAGCGTCTCTGTCCATTCGTATGGCCAAGCCAACGTAGCCGCTGTATTTCAATCCGTCGTACTATTTCTATATCGTAGTAAAGCACATAAAGCTTTTTATATGCAGTGTTCTAAAAAGAATGTCTTATGTATCTTATAAAAGTTGTGGTTGACTGGCTACAATATGCTCATTCGTTTTCGATTCGAGGAGTTCCAGTACTGGCTTCCGAAAACCATGATTCTGTCTCAGTAAAAGACTTGCCCCAAATTCCTGACTCAGAACATTGGGTTGCTTTGTAGTAGCGTTGCCTGAGTATTGGCCCAGAAGCTAATTAGCGATGTAAGCACTATTTTGATATGTTTTCTCTCCTTTGATACTATCTGGTTTCAGGATTCGTTGGAATTTTCAAACCACTCTTAGTAATGCAGTATTTAGGAACTTCGTTTGTCGCACTACTTTTTTCGAGATTACAACTACTGCGCCGAAGTACAGCAGGGCATTTTAGCTACATATTCAGCAAGGGACGAGTGGCCCGTGATATCTATTCTTGAACTGTTGTAAAGCACTTCCGGTCTTGATTGTCATTGTGTGCCCATACATACATATTTCTAGCAGTTTTGTAGGTTTGGAGGTTGTTCCATCGTGATCTAGCCATTCGTGCGAATGGCAAGTTCTCTTTGATTACCCTGAGTGGAGAGTTTATTGTCTGGGCTGCGGATTTATTAAGAGATGCTCCAGCCTTAGTCAATTCGTAGCCGTGTACATTCCAAAAGCTGGGGACTCAGACACGTGGAGATGCTGGCAAACTGAGTTAGTCGGAAAGAGAGACAGACGTCCAGCATTTCAGAGAATATCGCCGCACCCACACGGCAATCCATTTTTTCCTTGATTTGTTGAGCCTAATTGCAGCGCTCGCTGCAATTTTGGTTAGGGGAGTTCTATGAGAAGTTGAAGCAGAATCAAATCAAACACATCCGTTTCCAGTGCTGACCACCATACTAACGCACCGTAAGTTAATATTAGCCTTGCAATAGCAACACACATCCATACACAGGCCAACCTTTGGCTTTAGTATCCAGTTTCTTCTGAAGATCCCTTTGCGGGTTTAATAGACTTTAAATGCTTCTGGTACGCGTCTATCGATATTTGTCTTCCACCTGAGTTTGGTGTCTAATGAAACGATCAGGTATTTCACGTCGAAAACAATGTGAGATGCGTTGATTTTAAGGAAGGGAGTCTGAATAGCGTTCTATTCGTTTTCTTCGTGAACAGCGTCAGTCCGTTTTACTCGGATTGGCACTAAGACCAGTTTTAAATGCTCACGAGTGAAACCTGAACACAGCTCCCTCTAACATTTCACTAATCGCTGAGGGTATAAAACCTGATATTGTCACCAATATTTCAGCTGCATCATCCCCTCTGTCGAGTTCTAACAAAATATCGTTCAGGCCACCAACGAAACGTAGTCTTTGTGGGGTTCAAACGAATGAGTAAAATTCTCCTATGCAGAGCGGAAACCATGACTGAACGTAACACATCATTACCACGATAAAACGAGACTGTGTTGGAGTGGCCATCTATAACATAGACCCAAATCTACATAATTTCAAGTGTCTTAATGTAAAGATGTTAGACAGGCTCCGTCCTCATTGTCCGGTTATTCAAATTGCCATACTTGTGTTCCATCTGCATTCAATCACTTTAAATTATAATTACTTTATATTGATTTTCCTCACTTCAGACTGCTCATTGTGGTGCGTGATCCTGTTACACGAGCCATATCCGACTACACGCAAGCGGCCAGCAAGAAATCGGATATGAAACGTTTTGAAGACTTAGCCTTCGTCAATGGCTCATTTGCTGTGGTTGACACCGCCTGGGGACCGGTTAAAATTGGAGTTTATTCTCGTTATCTGGAAAAATGGTTGAAATATTTTCCCCTCTCACAACTTCTATTCATCAGCGGCGAACGTCTTATCATGGATCCGGCGTACGAGATTGGACGTGTACAAGATTTTTTAGGTCTCAAACGTGTAGTGACTGAGAAACATTTTTACTTTAATGCCACCAAAGGTTTTCCATGTCTATTCAAATCGGAAGCGCGTTCAACGCCACATTGTTTGGGCAAAACGAAAGGACGCAATCATCCACATATCGAAGAAGCTGCCATTGAACGTTTACGTGAGTTTTATCGACCGTTCAACAATAAATTTTATCAAATGACTGGCATAAATTTTGCATGGCCCTAAGGGTAGTAAGTACACAAATATGTATGGATGGATGTATGAGCATAAGTAACTATTTAAGGAAATAAGAAGTTTTGTTGAAGCTTTAAAAGCTTAACAAAAAATCAAATTTACGATAATCGGAAATCTACGATATATGTATTGCATATTTATGTACTGTAACAGCTGAAGTTGTTACATATGTATATGTATGTATGTAAATGCATGGTTACAGAAGTGGTAAAGCGCTAGATTTAGCGTGCGCCTGGAAAACGCACAATTTTTTTTGCTTCGAAACTTTATAAACGAACTTTGCAATATCCTAGTTTACAATTACGATATACAAACATAAATGCATAAAGGCATATAAATAGATAAGTTACTTAATACTTAAGTGTTTGATACGCGCTGAAACATCAGTAATTTCCATATACTCGAAGATAAATACATACATACACACATGCGTAAATACATATATTAAATACTACATAACGCGCACAACTGTTGTGTATAAGGAGTTATTACTGTTATTTAGGTTCATTAACTGTACAAATATCTGCAACATGTTATTGGGGCGGTGATAAAGTAATGCAAAATAAGTAGAAGAAATCAATAGACAAATCCCGAATATTTAGAAATTAGCATGAAACTTTTATCTGTATCGTATTGCAAGTATGCATGTATGTATGTTGACCAACACGTCTGCATTCAAATCGATCTAACATTACATTTCATTCGAAATATGTACACCCCGCTTCACTTAAATAGCTCCTTTTTTCTTTAAAACCCGAGCTTATTTACAGCCGCACTTGTAGGCATCGGAGATGCCTGATTTAATCTCATTTGCTTGTTTTTTGGTTCACTAGAAATTGGTTGATGGGTATACCATAGAACTGAGCAGAAAGTATTTCTTACCAAGAAGTAACTGAACTTTGCTAAATTCAATTTAAAAAAAAAAATCGTCTTGAAAATAGCGCACGTAGACGTCGGTCGATACCAGAGGCTCTGCCTGCTTCCTTTATTTTTAAATAGGCTGATATGAAACAAAACATATTCTCTATCCAAAAATTGTTCAAAGAACTTTGAACAGCAAGCGTTTCCACAGCAGAGCTCCACGCAGGAATTCAATTATCTTGCAAGTGAATAAACCGCAAGTTTTGTCTAGAATTTTCTTAGTAGCAAATGTTGGGGTAATTGATTTATGTATGTAAGGAAGTCTTGTTTAGAGGTAAATTCAACTCCATGAAACATCATTGGAAACGACGTTGGATTGTCTTACTTTACAGGAATATATTTTAAGTGTTTACTTTGCACTGTCGATTCTGAAGGCTTACTTATATGATAATTCAAGAGCGCATCCTGAGTCTTTTGAACTTTATGTGGATACAGAATCCTCTATGATCTTATTGCTAGCTCTTTTGTCAACTTTTTGAGATGTTTTTTGGAGTTTTACCAGACAAAATTTCACAAATTTTCTTTTAAACCTTTTATTCCTTAAAAAATAAAAGCTAATCCAGCTCTATAAGTTCTGATACAAATTCGCTTCTTAAAAAATAATTCCGTCATTCAAGTGAGACGAGGTGTATGGCTGAACTGTGGTTGTATTTTAAGAACTTTATACTTTTTTCAGATACAAGAATCTGACTGCCGTTATTTAAAAACAACCCATAAATATCAATTATATAATCTTTTACATGTGATTTTTATCAAGCCTCGAGAAATATCTATCTACATTAGGGTGGTTAAAAAAAATGCAAAAAGTAAAATCGTAATTTTTATGCTCTCACCCCCTAGGATTGTTCTATACCGAAAAAATATACCCCTGTTTTTTATTTTGAAATCAAAAAATATTTGGAGGTCGCTCAAAGCGCTAAAAATTTTTCATGTATGTAGAGAATTCTTGAAAATCAATATTTTTCGATCGGAACACTCTGTTTCTCTTCAGAAGACTCCCAATAATAATACCCAATTATTTATTTAGCAATTGTTTCATAGTAACTATATTTTATAGGTCAGGCAAGACCCCTAGAAATGCCAGAAAATGCAGATCAAAAAATCTTTGGTATTAAAAAATGGTTAAATAAAAAATTGGGTATTGATTGCTATTGGAAGTCTCCTGAAGAGAGAAGTTGTTGTTTCCCCATATAAAGTACATAGAAAACTTTGAGCGCTTTGAGCGACCTCGAAATATTTTTTGATTTCAAAATAAAAAACAGGGGTATATTTTTTCGATATAGAACCATCCTAGGAGGTGAGAGCATTAAGATTCAGAATTTACATATTTCGGACCACCCTCGGGTACATACAAATGTAGATATAGTATAGGGAATTCACGAAGTGTCATAACAGTCATATTGCCATAAAGTGATAAATTTCAAAATGTTAGCCCTTTAGGATTTTTTCCTTAAATTCGTGATAAGGACCCCTGAGGTACATATTACTTTTAAGTTCAATTGTAGATCAACTGGTGAAAACTAGTGCAAGCATACATTTAAAAAAAAAAACACACACACACACAAAAGTCGCACACTTTTTAAGACAATTTTTGTGGTATAGTTTCAATCCGACAAAATAATTTAAAACGTTCGATATAAGAACAAAGATTATGTTTGTATCATTTCTGTTTCAGAGTCATGAAAATGTTATTATCATTGATTTATCTAGTCCGCTCACCAAACCTTTGAAGACAATCAGAATTCCTTTGACGACAATGACAATAATATTGCAAATACTGAATTTAAGCCTAAAGTTTAAAGTTTCGCTCGATTTAGAGCTAGATGAACATGAATTCAATGTACACAAACTTTGAAAGAAGGGTTACTCTATCCCAATCCCATGAAATCATCGTCAATGATAGTCAATCCAAAAGCATTCACGGGCTTCCGTTCTTCCTCTTTCTATCGTGCCCCGTAAGCACCAAAATACAACCTTGCGCTAAGGAGTCGTAGAAACGAGCTTTTATTATAGCGTCATGGTATGACACTATGACAATATGGCAGGTTACGATAGCTTGTGAATCACCCAATTGAATTAAAAGTATTATTCCTCTACTTAATGCACAACCAACTTACAGCCACTGAATATAAATATGTAGTATGTATTAATGAACTTTTCGCAAACAATTGTAGAAAAAAAGATATGAAAAAATATAGTATAAAACAATGTAGCTTTATTCTTGCACACTATTCATCATGCATCATAGTTCCTTTTTGCTCTCTGCATTTAAAAAAATATATACTACCGATATAGATAGCCTGTATACATACATATGCACAAACAGTACGAATAGAAACATTTGTATTAACAAAGCCATACGAAATCAACAAAGCCATTGCAATAAAGAAGACAAAACAAAGACTTTTGTAGTAAATCACACAACAGAACAGTTAATACATCGATTTTTTATGAAAATAAACTTTTGAATATTTATTATTTTGCTTGCAAAAACATTAGTTAAATCAGAGCTTGTATACACGCAAATAAATACTTATGGTGATTTCGTTTCTACCAAAAAATGTCACATTTTGATTGCCCCTTTTTCTCTTTTCGTGTTCGAATCTAAATTAAAGGCAAAGGGTGAGACAACTTTTTGTTCATTTCTTAAAATGCCACACTCTTGTAAGGCAAAAAAGTCCACCTTTTCTGCCCTTTGAAGCTTTGTCAGGGGAGATGGTTGCTTAAAACGACAATATGATGAAATGCGTGAGCTGGACAAGGACAAGAAGGGGAAAAACATGCCTTCTCAAAGGGTCGAGTGTAACATCCAAACACATTTTGCACCGAGCAAGGGCAACAACTTTTGGTAGAAACGAAATCACCATTACATACATACACACATAAATGCTAGTGATGTAACTGTTTTCGTCGAAAATATTTATTAAAACGTATTGCTTAAATATTTTTCAAAAAAGAATAAAATATTTAATTACATTAAAAAAAAATTAGATAAATCAAATGACTAAGCGATCTTCCATAATTTTACTTGCACTCTTATATAAAAAAAAGGCTGGCAAGCCTATAGATTTAAATACATATACATTTAAGACAAGCATATACAAAAAAAACTTAGAGAGACTGTAGCCAAAGTCCATTTAGAATTTATAAATATTATATTTTCTGTAAGAACAAACTTTCTCAATCTATATACTATTACAACGCACATGTACAACACTTGTCACGAGTACTATGTACACATCTACATATGTGTGTTTAGGTCTGGTAGAACTGCATATGATTTTCATAAAGAAAATACTTATATTTAAACTGAATATAAATACGTATGAATACTTATTTTATGTTATACGAAAGAACTCATTTTGATTTTTGTAAAAACAAAATAACTTTAATAACTATAGAGAAATTTAATGTAGTGAAGAGAGTAGCGGCATTTTTTGTGTCGTCTTACAAATGTATTTGATCTCATAAAAATAACTTTAATATGCATAAAGTTCTGAACACATTGAAAACGACGAGCTACAGACCACAGCTTCCAATTTGTTATCTTCATTATCTAAACGCTTTGTCGATGGCGACATGATTTCTTTGAACGCGGCAGCGACATCATGAATTTGTATGAGTTTGACATTAAAGAAGAGGAAGAACCTTATCTGTCGCCAGAAAAATAGAAATAGATCTAATCTGGCCACAACCACAGCCGTCGCGTAGCCCGGTCGTCGCCAAAATAATTATCTACATAAGAGTACGTGTTAAAATAATTTGACAGCTGTGGTTTGTAGCTCGTCGTTTTCATTGTGTTCGGGCTATAAGTAACCTTTTTTTTAAACACACAAACATGAGTTGTAAGACATGACTCATGATACACGAAAAAAAAAAATTTTGAAAAATATCGCGCATGATTTGGCAAGAAATCAGTTCAGCAAATACATATGTACGTATATGCAGCTTTTTTGAAATCTCGTTTTTTTTATTATCGAATAAACCGCATTTTTTATCGAATAAATCGGACTTTTCATTTCATTCAAATCTTAACCTCTCAAAAAAAGTTTCGAGTTTTTCGATGTTTTCAAGGTTTTTCCTGTTTAAGAGAAACCTTTAAATAGTTTTAAAATTATTATATCCTAGGTTATTTGAGGATGAACAGTATAGCATATTTGATTCCAATCAAAGAATCTTTGGTGCTTAAACGTTTTCTAAAGGTTTGGCCGACTTTCTCCTCAAGTTCGTATTCCGCTTCCTGATGTTATGATACTCCTATTCCGAAGAAGCTTTTCTATGGCAGAACTGCACTCGGAGGTCTGCCATTTTCTGCCGAGAGGCGACCGCTATTTCAAAAAAAAAAAAACAGTTTTTTGATGTTTCCGGGGCCAAAAATTTAACCCTGGACCTCTCGAGTGGCAGTAGGCATCTCTTGGCACGCGGCTGCGGCGGCAACAGCTCTATTCAAATCCGATAGAAGTCAGAAAAAATTTAATAAAGTATTAAAAAGTTAAAAAAAATAAGCCCAAATATGATTTTTTCACAAATTAAAAACTAATTTCATTTAATTTTATTCAGTTTATCGGGACCGTGCACGATTTTTTCACAACCACTTCAGAAATAGTTCGGAACTATTTCATGATTATTTCGTGATTAGTATCGAACTACCCCGACATGATCCCGAACTAGTTCCAAAATTTACCTGAACTAGTGCTGAAATATGGGAGTACTTCTGTCTTAAAAAACTTGTGAAGTCTGGAAAATAGACGGATCATTTGAATACCAGCGATTCATATAAAATCCCTGTTGCAACTCTACGTCCCATTTTGGAGCTATCGATGTACAGATTATGTATCCAGGCGGAA